ACAAACCCCATTGGAATATATTTGTTTTGGTCATTGCTTTCAAAGAATAATCAATTGAATGCATCTAAGTAAGTAAAGGAGAAAATCAAGTAAAATTTTTACTTGGAATGGAAAGAAAACTAAAAAGCATAAATAAGTAAACAACTTACCTTGAAGTATTTAGAGAGAAAAGTTGGCGACAAAAAGAGCATTTGCCAGACTCATAGGAGAAAAAAAAAAAAAGGCTGAGTGGACACAATGGTGACTCAATAAGACTAAGATCTAAGTCTGAAATAATGTTAATGTCATGCCCCAGAACCCAAATCCGAGGACGTGGCAGACGCCATGCACTTGTGAACGGGTCCCATGAATGCACAAGGCTCAAAATTTATCCAATTCACATCTGACAATCCAATAACTTAGATTGGATATTTCAAAATTAGTTCTATGTCCAACATGACTTAAGCTCAACATCTCGAGGTCAAATCTTTTGTAAACTAACAATTCATTAAATGAATGTATAAAATCTCTGATTAAACTTTAGTTTACAAGATCATGATCTATATCTCAAATCTATATTCACTTTACAAAATGGCTAGCCTTCTAACTCGTCACTCCCCTTGGTTTCACGTCCTCAGTTTCGCTTCCTGAAATGGTGGACAAGGAAAACTATGAGATAACTCAGTAAGTAAATATGGATAGCCCTTGAGTAAAATTTTGGCATGCCTGATAAACAGTTTAACATATCAAACATTCAATGATAAACCGTTAAAATAGAATCAGATTCAGTTCAATAACAAAATGTTTCATGACAAATCATTAATGCAGAAGAAAATTCAGTAGTAGTCTCATCTATAGGTCATGGCCAGCGTTTATAGACCTCCCACTGGCGGGCACAATAGTAACCAATGTTTAACCCCATTGGCAAGGTTACAGAAGTACCAGTGTTTAACAAACTCCCACTGGCAGGCGTCAGTAATGGTACCAGTGTTTAACAACTCCCACTGGTAGGCGTCAGTAATTACCAATGTATTCGCCCATTGGCAGGCATTAGTAGTACCAGTGTTTAACAAACTCCCATTGGCATGCATTAGTAATTACCAATGTATTATCCCATTGGCAGGATGAACCGGTTCTACAGAAATACATGTGGACATGTGCTAGCATTTATAAACCTCCCACTAGTAGGCACAATAAACATGACCATATCAGAGACAAAATCATGCAGGATTTATAGAAAAACCCGAAATTCACAATCAATCTCAAATTTCATAAATAACCAGAAAATTCCATGTGGGCATGGATTTAATAGAAAATTCAGAACTTACAAGATTCTCAGTTTATCAAAGCAGTTCAGTCAATTCCAAATAGGCATGCTCTACTCCAGAAAAACAATGAAATTCTCATTTTCATTCCAATCATGCTCAATTCCAGAAAATCAATGAAATAGTCAATTCCAAATAGGCATGCTCTACTCCAGAAAAACAATGAAATTCTCATTTTCATTCCAATCATGCTCAATTCCAGAAAATAATGAAATTCTCATTTTCATTCCAATCATGCTCAATTCCAGAAAATCAATGAAATCCTCATTTTCATTCCAATCATGCTCAATTCTAGAAAAACAATGAAATCCTCATTTTCATTCCAATCATGCTAAATTCGAGAAAATCAATGAAATCCTCATTTTCATTCCAATCATGCTCAATTCCAGAAAAACAATAATTTTCATAAAAATCATCACAATTTTCATTTCAGTTTAATCACACTCAGATGCTGATAAAATCAATTTAAACCTTGCCACCATCTCAAAAACAATTTAAAACATGCTTTAAAATCGAAGGGCTTTACCATAATTTACTTACTTTACTCGCACAGAACAGAAGGCTAACCCAAGTGCTACGGTGATAGAACGATCAAAACCTAATCACAATATTGCAAAGTTAATACCGCACTACCACAAATTCACAGTGAAATCATCTTTAGCAAGGGTCGGGGGAGAGGAAGAGCAAGGCACGTGGGTCTGATGGGGAAGGAAAGAAAGAAAGAAAGAAAAAGAAAAAGAAAAGCAATTGATCCTTATCCTAATTTTCTTTCTTTTTAGTCCTTCAAATTTTGAAAATTTTGCTATTAAGCCCCTCAATAATATTTTTCCTCAAATAAGTCCCCAACTCAACTTTAATATTCTAGAAATTTTGGGGTATTACAGTTAAAGACTAAAGAGAAAAGGTGGAATCGAAGCTTGAAAGTCAAAGGCTGTATGAACCATGGAGGTTGAAGAATATGAGAAAAGTTTGAAGTTTGAAGAGTTAGAGTCTTCGAGAGTATTAGGGCAAGCAAAAATAGGAAAGGTTGGGAGGTGAGTTATGAGTGGAGTGTGATTATTTTTAGTTCTAGAAGATGATGAGTCAAGAGAATAAATTAGTTAATTAAGGAATATTAGTCAATTATTAGAGGTTTAGGTGGGATTGGGAATTGGTAAACAAAATAAATAAATAATAAATTAAAAATTTTATATTTTTAAACGGGTAAACGGGTCAAACCCGTTAACCCGATGGGTCAACCCGTTATGGACCCGTGACCCGTTGGGTTCTCTTAATGGGTTATTAACGGGTCACGGGTCATAAATATATGACCCTAACTTGTTTTAAACGGGCGGATAATTGACGGGTTAACGGATTGGGTAAAAAATTGCCAGGTCTTTGTGAAGGGGTGTTTTTTTTTCAAATTTTCTGGTAAGAAATCAGCCACTACTTCATCATCTCAACTCTAAATTGAATGGGGCTGACTCTAATCCTTCATTCCTTATGATTATGGGTGGCTTTCCATAACTTCCTCTCTGTTTCTTCTCAATTCCATAGCCACCGGATTCAAACTTCTCAAGAGGAAATTTTGGTATGTTAAGAGCCTCCTTAGGTCAAATTTCAGTTCCTTTTTAGTTACTGAAGTGTGTTAGATAATGGGTTGAGAAGCCTTTCTTTTGTGTTCTAAAGCTCCCTTGTAAATGTCTCAATTATGCGCCAAAATTCTAGATTGTTTCAACCCTTGTTATGCTTAATTTTTAGTTAGATTTTAGACCTTAAAATGTGCACTTTGGCTACCAAAATGTAGTTGTATAGCTTGGTTTTTATGCATCAACATACAGCATTTGTTCCATTTATTTTCTTTACTTAACCAAGCTAAAATTAGCTAAAGAACAACTCAGATTTTTTAATTAAATTGGCTATCATTTTTTGCTTCAAAATATCTAGATTTTTGTAATTATAACTACTGATTTCTACTTCAAAACAACCCACAAAGTAACCTCAATTTTAGCATGTTTTCATACCCCAAAAGTGTTTTGTTGAAAGAAAATCTACATATTCTTGCTCTTGAACTGCATTGTTTTTGGCATGTTTTGGACCATGATTAGACTGCTGAAATTCTGAATTCCTAGCCTGACCTTGTGTTAGTATTCTAGCCATAACTTTCTCCGTAGATTTTGGATTAAGGTGATTCTTAATCTTATAGAAAGCTAAGACATAAGACTACAATTGATTTGTAAACCATTCAACCCAGTTAGGTTGATTTCAGGGCGCGAATTCAGTTGAAAGTTCCGGTTCAAGATTTGATCAGAACTTGCTCTCAAATTCTTGCTGTTCTAGTGTCCAATTTTGCAGTCCTCGGTTTGATTCTCTGAGTTTAACTCCCAGCTTCTTAAACATCTTCAATATCCTAATTCTTGGTTCTTGTGGAATCTTGATTCTCTCCAAAGTGAGGTAAAGAAATTTACAGTTTTTGCTCTTTGTTTAAAACTGAGATTTTTAAGGCATATTTTAAACTATTCTGTGGTGGTGGCAAAAATTAACCTATTTTACAATAATATGAGTATGACATGTCTTGATATAAAGTTTTTATATATGTTCTTTACTAAAAGTTGAGCATGCCTCTTTCATGAGATATTTATTGAAATATACTGGTCACTTGAGATTTTGAAAGTTTATCTTATTTATATGCTTTCATTGTTTTGTCTTTGACTTGGTCATGATTACTAATGCTTGTCAATTGGAGTTTGCTAAATATTGGCATATGTCGACATTTATTGTTATAGAACTGATTCATCCTGTTATATTACTGACACCTACTAATAGAAGTTTTGTTAAAGACAGGCTATTACTAATGCTTGCTAGTGGGAGTTTTGTTAAACATTAGCTCTGACTAATCGAGGAGATCATTAAATGATTTTTATTATGCATCACTAGATTGTGACTGGAATTACTATTTTGATATTTTATATCTAGCATACTTTCTTTTAAATTAAAATGGGGCTACCTATAATTTACTTCTTGAGATTTATTTCACACCATTTTTCTTGTCCACCATTTCAAGTAACAAGACTAGGGACATTGAGAATCAAGCTGAGTGACATGTTAGTTTGCTTATTATTGGATTGAGACTAATTTTGGATTTTAGACATAGATATTTAGATGATTTAGATGATATTGGAGGTCTAAGCATAATTTGACTTGGTTAGATATTTGATTATAGATTTTGGATTATTTAAGATATTTGTTTTTATAATATATTTTAGTGGATTATTAGAAATTAGAGATACTAACAACTTATTGGTCCCAAGTGGAAGGATCTTCATTTTCTTTAAGTAAAGTTTTGAGTTCAAAATCTTGTAAATAGAAAGACAGGTGTTGTGAAAATTTTTCTCTTATGAGGTCTAAGCTAGTTCAACTTCGAATTAATTGAGATTCAATGTGATTTCTAAATACCGAAAGGTTTAGTACTTAAAAAAATAGAAATTTTAGTTTTTTGCATAATATATTAAACAAATTTTGAGTCTTGTACGCTTGTGAGACCCTCTCTCATAGGTATACGGCAGTGTCTGCTTTGGGGTGTGACAAAGATGGAGATAATGTCTACTTAAATGTGTGTACTTTAAATCTGTTAAATAAAAAAAATCTTTTTAAATCATATTGTTAAGGGGCTAATAAGTTTTAAGTTTTTAGATAGGAGCCAATAATCTTAAAATTTATAAATTAAAGTGCTAAATAGCAGTTTAAACCTAATTTCAAAGTTTTCTCTGTTTTTTCTTGTGTTTCTTGCAGTTCTGCTTCTGTATTCAATCTTCGACAATGCATGGATTCTGCAGTCTGATTTAAAATTCAATTGAAATTTAAGCATTTAATTTTCTGTTTGTATGCGGAGCAAGGCTTAGGTCCATTAGGAACCTGGCCCTTCGGGCCAAATGGCTCTAGCCACGTTTGTAAAGGTTCATATCCCCCTCCCCCAAGGCAACGGTTCGAGCCGGCCCCATGACAAAAATGTTCAAAAAAAAAAAAAAAAAAGGCTTAGGTCCATTAGGATAGGTTTTTGGGTTTGTGAATCGTGTCTGGAGGCCGGGCTAATGGGCTAGGTTTTATTGGGTTCGGTTTTGATAATTAATTGGATATAAGAAACTAGAAAATCCTAGGAGATCAAATAAAATTTTTTTTAAAATATTTTGCAATTTAGATTGTATTAAACTATAAAATAATGATTATTAGATGAGGTGAGGCCCAATATCACGAGGTGAGGCCCAATATCAAGAGGCTTGCCCCTTATTAAACAGGCTCTATTGTGCAGTTTTTTCTGTAAAAAATTACACTATATAAAAATCAAAAACATTTAAAAAGAGAAAATAGAAATTTTGAAAAATAAAAATAAGAAGTTATTCTTCATCCTACTCATTAAGTCATAACAAAATATAACTTAATATTCATAAAAATTAGACAACTAACTAATAATAACCTAAATTGATTAATAAGGCTTGAATAATGATATATATTAGTGGGTTTGCCCTGCTACATAGGGGATTTTGCTCTAAATTTATAGTCATTAATTTTTTTCATCTTTTTTTCTTTGGAGAATTGAATAATTGGAGCATTCTTCCTAAGGAGAAAAATTACATAAACATCACTTTAACTTTGGAAAAGATTTGTATTATGTTGAAATTTAGAAGGGTAATACAATGATATTAATTATGAATCTAAATTAGAAATTTAATAAGGTGAAGTTATAATTCCACATAAATAACCTAATCTAATTTTTTTTTTTTTGTTTTATATTCTTCTTATTTTTTTTTACTATTTTTTTTTTTTTTTTTTTTATCTTGTAGATAAGGTAATATTTTAATTTAAATTCATTTAGTTTTTAGCTTTTGACTAATAATGAGAAGTAAATGGATAATCACCATTTTAATTTAAAGAAGAAAATATTGAAATATTCAAATAAGATTACAATTTAAAATTAAATTTTAAAAAAAAATTATTAAAATCCGTTGATATATAGAAGAGATATTTAGATATCAATAAAATTTTAGTCTTCTATCTAAAAATAAAATAAATTTTCAATCTCTTTTAAATATTTAGGTCTTAATGTATCTAGGGTCTTAATGGCAAAAAATTTTAATAAGTAGTATTGAAGAAAAGTTCCATTAATTTATTAATTTGAAATTTAGAAGATAATACAATGAGATTAATTACTAATTTAAATTAAAATTTCAATAAGGTTAAGTTTAAATTTCAAATAAATAATCTAATCTAAAAAGTTTTTTATATCTAGGAATTAAATTAGATTTAAGTAAGATTTTTCAATTTTGTTTATTTTGTATGTATTAATTTTAATTCGAATTTATTTAGTTTCTAGTTTTTGGCCAACACTAAAAAGTAAGTGGATAATCAAAATTTTAATTTAAAGAAGAAAATATTTAAATATCCAAAAAATATTACAATTTGAAATTAAATTGAAAAAAAATAAAAATCAATTGATAAATAGAAGAGTTATTTTGACACTAACAAAATTTTAGTTTTTTTCTTTTTTTTTTTTTTTTAGATCTTAATGGCAACAAAATTTAATAAATAGTATTGATATATATATATTTGCATAACAGTGCCATAAAGATATAACTCTTCCACAAGCTCTTCTTGTTCCATGTCAGCTTGATTAGTCAACTCAGATGTATCAAGAGCAGTATTAGATTTAGCAGTACTTGAAATCTTGGAGTTGTGTTCACCAGTCTGCAATTCAATCTAACCTCTTGCTCGGTCCCTGGAACAGAGCTGAGATTACCCATTCTGATCATGGAGTCCACAAAAGCTTCAAAGAAAGCAGTCTAGTTAACAAACTTGTTAACAATGTGTTTGGTATTTGTCATAACTCAAAATTTTTAAATTTTTATTTTTATTTTAGTTTTTATCTTCATTAATATGTTCAATTTTTACTTTTATTGTTAGGGTGGCAAGCAAAGAGGAAATGTTGCGAAAAAGTGGGAGAAGAAGAAAGAAGGGACTTAATTGAAGAGATGAAAAGTTGAAGGGTAAAATGCATTGAAGTCAAAAATCAAAAACCCAAAAAAACCCAAAGCCCACTCCAAAACCCAAAAACCCAAAGCTTACAAACTACCCAAGCCCAAAATCCCAAAACCAAAACCCAAAACCCAAACCAAAAATAATAATAATAATAATAATCAGATTAAAAAAAATATATAAAATAATAAAAAAAAGGGTTAAATCTTTTGCTTTCCAGAAACTTCTTCCCCCATACAACCCGGCCTTTTCCCTGCGCCCCAAGTCCCGTGCCCTGCGCCCCAAGTCCCGTGCCCTGCGCCTCTGCACCAGCCTTGCTCTGCACCTGCTCCAGCGCCCCTGCTTTTCCCCAGATCCCCTGTCTTGCACCCGAGCCTGGCCCCAATCCTGTGCCTTCTGCACCAGATCCCCTGCCCTTTCTGCGCCGAATCGCCTGCACTCTGCACCAGCCATCGCCGGCAATCATGCCCTGCACGCCCGAGCCATCATACCCCCCCTACGCCCCTCTGCTGCACCAAATCCCCTGCCCCCTTCTGCGCTCGAATCGCCTGCGCTCTGCATCGCATTGCCGGCAATCATGCCCCTGCATGCCCAAGCCATAGCCAGCCATCATACCCCCCCTACGCCCCTCGGCTGCAGCTCGATTCGCACCCCTTTACGCCTCCTGCTGTTGCACCGAGCTTGGCCCCCAATCCCCACCTCTACTGCACCGAGCCTACAGCCATGCCCCTACCTCACCTACCTAGACAAAATTGGCATCATTGGTGAGTGACAGAGCAAAGCCCCCCCTTTTTTTAATTTCATTTTTTATTGTTATTTTTATCCTTTTGGGTGTATATATAAAGCAAAAGGCAGAGGTCTTTGGGTGGATTTTGGCTGTTTGATTTTGGGGGGATATATATATATTTTT